GGCGGGGAGGCATGGATGGAGCAAGGCTCACCTGCAACCACATGGACAGCATGTCCTGCGGCAGCCCCTGACTGTCCCTGTCTCATAAGCTGTGACCGTGGTCAAGACCCAGCTGCAGTGTGGCTCCTTGGGGACCCCTTGCAAAATGCCCTGCGGCTGTTGCAGCCTTGGCGGCTTCTCTGCTCCTCCCGGGCACCATCGCCAGCTTCGAGCGATGCCACACTCCTGCCTGCACAACAGCAACCTCCTGTCAGGGGTGATCCCCTGCCAGCATCCCTTTCCCCCTCTCCTTTGCCTACATCTCTCCTTAAACACAACCAGAGCTTAACAACAGCTTGCTGGTGGAGGAAGGGGCTGTGCAACACAAGCAGTGCCTTTATGTCTCTGCTTTCTACTCCTTTGCATTCAGCATCTCCCTGATTTCATGCAGACAGCTCCAGGGGACTTGTTGGGCTTCTGGCAGTCTCTGCTGAAGCAATGCAGGGAGCGTGCGGTGCTGTCTTCAGGTTTTACTGTTCCTGATTGCCACCTCTGTGGTTCCCCATCAGTTTAGGAGAAATCAGGTGTCAGGCTCCTCAGTGAGCCTGCCTGGTTCACATCTTCTGCGATGCAGCAAGACCCCAGCAGCGTGGCTTGCCCTGGCTCGCCTTTGCCTTTAACTTTACCTTTGCCTTTGCCTTTGCCTTGCCTTTGCTGTCAGGCTCCTCAGTGAGCCTGCCTGGTTCACATCTTCTGCGATGCAGCAAGACCCCAGCAGCGTGGCTTGCCCTGGCTCGCCTTTGCCTTTAACTTTACCTTTGCCTTTGCCTTTGCCTTTGCCTTTGCCTTTGCCTTTAACTTTACCTTTGCCTTTGCCTTTGCCTTTGCCTTTGCCTTTGCCTGCCTCCCCTTCCCATCCATTTCTGTATCCTCCCCTTCTTATTCCATTCAAACCATATAAAAATACCAAAATACCTGGTACCAGAAACTCTCCTCAGAGCTTGGCTGTGCTTTGGGGCACACATGAAAGGGCGCTTTGCACCCTTTCACCAGTCCCTCCTTGTTTCCCTTTTACCACCTCATTTGTGCAGTTTTGGGGCTGAAAACCTTTCCTATTTTTCAACGCTGCTGGCACTTCACAAATCGTAACCCAGAAACAACAGCAGCAATACCTGGGGTTGAGAGGTTTTGTGTTTTGCTTCTGATGGGGAAGCCGGTAGCTGTACCCCTGCAAAAACACTGGTGCTGTTCTGGTGAAAAGTGGCTGTGGATGCAGCTCTCTCACTGCAGGTGCCTTCATGGTCCAGCCATCTCCCAGCCCAAGCATGCAGGATCCCCCCAGTGCACCCTGCCTGGGTTGCCAGGACCTCCCTGGTGGAAATGAAACCCCGAGAGGGCTGGTCCCCATGGACGGGAGGTGAGATTCATGCCGGTAAGGCTGTGGCACAGTTACGGGAAGGGAGCCCGGCCCCAGGCGTTGCAACACAGATGAGTTTTTTGTGTTCCAAAACAAGGACTGATAATACAGGCAACCGAGCTGGAGCCGCGGGAGGCTGCTAAGCTAAATGAGACAGGAAGCACGTAATTAAATTAGATATAGAGCGGCATAAAGACATCTGAGTACACATACATCGTTGGGCTCGGAGGCTATTGCATAACCCTACTGAAGAGCTCTGCATTATAAAATATTGCACCTACCACATCCCACGCTGGTGACCTGCCTATCCTTGAACAGCATCTCCCACCCCATCGAAGGGGAGAGTTAAAAAAGCTGCCCCAAGGGAGCAGAGCTGCCAGATGGTGGTTTGTGCAGGGGGCTGGTGGCCGCGGCAGAGCAGGCGGAGGGTCTGTCCTGGCCTTCGTGGGGAGGACATCGCCAGAACAGCCTGATCCCATTTCTGCGCCTGGGCTCAGACCCGCACATGTGGTACTGGCACTGCGCCGTGTCCCAGAGCCATGCACCGGTTCAAACACCCAAGCGTGGGACTCTGTTGTGAGTGTGGCATTTCCTACAGCTTTATGCATCTTCTGGCTGAGTGACTGTGGTGCCCAAGAAGATACAGCCTTTGACTCTTTCCCTCCCACTGAGGTTTTACAGGGGTCTCTCCCTCCCATGGGGGCTTGCAGGGACCAAGCTCCCACCGCAGGCTTTTCCTCACTTCTGCCTTGCCATCAGCTTTTTCTCACCTGAGCCAAGTGCTTCAAAAGCTGCTACAGAGGGGACAAGGTAAAACCACACACACACTTGCCCAATGCACTTTTTATCTATGGGAAAAAGCAGTGGGGAGACAGGGGCTGAAGCAAAGTGGAGGTTTCAGCAGGCAGAGATACCAAGGCAGAGATGTGCAGTTTCTCCACTCTGGCTCGCATCAGCCATGCTCCTCTCCCATGGGTCATGGCTGTTGCTGCCATCCCGGCTGTGTTTTGCCATACAGTTACATTACCCCAGCTGCTTCAAGCAGCACGTGGCTCCCAGCACAGTGGCTGCCTCGGGGACCACGGACTTGCTGCCAGAAGTCATCTGTCCTGTGTGTCTGTAACACATGCCCAGCCTCCTGGAGGTTTTTCTCTCAGCATAACCTGCTCAGGGGATGCCTCAAACACCAGGGAGGGTCACCAGAGCATCCTGTGACTTTGCAAATCTTCAGGTGGGAGAATGGGCTGCAGTGGGTGAGCACAGTTTTAAAGGGAAAAAGGACACAGATGAAGTCCCACTTAACACCAGGCATGCCCCAAAATGATGAGACAAAACGACACCAGGGCATCACTGAACACGGCATCTGTGCAGAGTACCGGGCAGGAGATAGAGAGGGAGATGCAGGCAATGGAGGAGAAGGGCCGTTATCTCCCCAAGCCCATGGCTGTTGTTGTTGGCCAGCTGCTACAGCTGGGAGGTGGGTGCAAAGGGTATGTATGCATGGTCAGTGCTGAAATACCTGGGTGTGATCCTCTCCTGTGGGTACCAGGAGAGTGCCATGCCATGTCAGCATGGCACTGCTGCTGTGACACCAGTGCTCCCAGCATAGCAGTGAGCTGGGGTGGAGCACCAGGCTGATGTGGCCAAGCACTTCCAAAACCTGTGTTAGATCAAGTGATGTCCACGCTGTGGGCATGCACAGACCTTCTTAGCATCTGTACAGGCAAAGGCAATCTTACAGCCCTCTCACCCTTACTCTTCCCCTTCTTTCCTTAAATCCACAGCAAGGATCACAGCTCTAATCATGTTTTTAAGACACAGGGAAGACATGAACAAGAGCTTTCTATAGCTCCAAACGTTTATCTGTGGCTGAACATCTGCTAACCAAGAAGCCTTAAACTTGTTTATTCAAGTGAAAAAAACCAGAGTTGTCGGGAAAGAGGCTGCTCTTGACTTTAAAGCTGAGACAGGAGCTAAAAAATCGTCATTAATGTTCGGTCATTAGTCCTGATGCATCTTTTCCGGCTAGCTGTGGGCAAGACAAATCAGTGGTTTTTTCTAAGTGGTGGAAGAAAGACAGGAGTGCCCATTACAGTTCAAGGGAGCTGAGGTGCCTAGTGCTCCTCTGAAAGTCTCCCATCCTGATATCCTCGTGCTTCTGCTCCCTGAAGACAGCTCGAGAGGAACCTTTCTCCCCAGCCCAGGGCCAAGATGGCTGCGTGCTGCCACCTCCCCTGGCATGGCTCATCTCCCACGGGCAAGATGCTCCGGCAATGTCCCGCACGTGATTAATGCAGGCAGCAAGGGTAGGAGACAATCTGAGCTCTGGAAAAATGTCTGTGCTGGCTGCGGAGCTGGTAATAGCAGGGACCAAGTGGGGAGGAAGGAAGAGGATGAGTAGTGGAGATGGCAGCTCTTGCCTTTGCCCTGGGACGTCCGTGGGCAGGGGGGTTTAGGGTCACTCTCCCCACCATAGAGCTCCCTCCCAGAGCCACCGACTGGGGAATTGCAGGGAGGGCAGCTCTCCAGGACCCTTCATGAGCCTGACCTTGGCATGGGGGACCTGTTGGCTGTCATGGACCTCTCTGGTTGTTGCACCAGACCTTGGGGTTCACTGATGTGCAGTGTCTGACACTGGTTTAACTCTTTCTTTTCATCCTTCTGTTTTGTTGGTTCAGTCCTTCCCCTCCAGTTTCCAACCTCTCCCCTGCTTTTAGTCTCTTCTTTCCATCTTCAGTTCTCATTAGGATCCACCTTTATCAGATGCTTTCCCACACTTTGCTCAGACTTTCTTTGATGCGCATCCCCTCCCCTTCTCTTCTTCCACCATAGAGCCAGCAGAGGATTTTTTATGAAGAAGTGCAACTTCTGCCAGCATGTGGGGTCAGACATTGGTCCTTATTTATTCTGGCTATGGATGGGCAGTGTAATTTGGGGGGGATGTGGAAACATTACACCCTTCTGCTCTATCTGCACTGCAAGGGGGGCGTATTGCATTGCCCTGGGGAGTGCAAAACCTTCCCCCAAGCTTTTCATCTGCCCCTGGGATGCTGTAAAACAGCCTGACTCTGCTGGGGACTGGCATCTCCTGCTTAATCCACCCGGGGAAAAGCATGCTGCTGCGATGCTACCACGCCAGCCCTTGCAGCGCTGGGAAGATTGGAAGTCCTCGGGCAGCAGGATGGAGCTGACGAATTACCATGAATTACGGCGTCTGTCCTGTCCCTCTTGCCCTCCCCATCTGCGTACCCGCCCGCCAGCGGTTACTCAGCAGGCTCCACACGTCGGTGGAAATGAGCTTATTTTTTCCTGTTATCGAGGAAGCAGTTATGACTGTGATGCTCAAGGACAAGCCTGGGCCTCCCCCCCCCTTAACAGCACAAAAGAAACCTACCTAAGCTGTTATCTTTGCTGGGTGCTGCCAGAGCAGCTTTTGGTTGGCTGGAGGCTGGAGCGATGCCGGGTCCCCCTCCCAGCCCTCCCACCTCCCACCCGATATAAAGCACGGCTCCTCGCCGCTTTTCCAGCTGACAGCACGCGACCGCAGGCACAGGTGGTGCCGCAGCTGCCTGTTGCACGCCCCTGCTGCTGCTGAAAGGACCTGATGAGTTGCTGGATGCCTGGGTGCCCAGCTCTCAGCATGTGCCGGGGGTTAGCCACGCTCCCCATCACTTGCCTCGAAAGGTAAGGGGCTTTGCCACGCTGCAGTTCTGGGATGCAGAGGTTAGCCAGAAAAGATGCACCTAACTTTGGAGTGGCCTGGCCAGCCTCTGCTGCTGCAGCCATGATGTTTCAGTAGAAACTGGGGCGCAGACTGCAAGGAAACACACAGTGAAGGATGGCCCGGATGATTTGTTTTGGCTGCATCCCTAGGAGGTGAGCACAGAGGTAAAACATGCAGAGAGAGAGGAGGCTGTATAGGGCTGCCCTGCGTGTGTCTGGGTGGACAAACACACAAAGGTTGTTTCTCTGGCTCCGTCTCTGCAGAACTTGCTTCAGGTTGACAGCAGCAGGACTATTTTTGTCAACATGGTTGAAATGTTAAGTGACATGTTGCTCCTCCTGCCAAACATGGCTACAGAGCCCCATGCTGCCGGCTTGACATTTAAATGCTTATTTTTGTATGAGTGCCTTGGGATGCCTGAATGAACTGCAGCACACAAATAGCGGTGGGGCCGCGCGCTGCCTCGGGGGGACCCCGGGGAGAGGAGCCAATTTAGCAGCAGCTCCTGCCGTATTGCCACAGAGACCTCCTGGCAGGGACGTGCCTCTGTGCCACCGCCGCAGAGCCTTGGTGACAGGCAGCCGCGTCCCAGGCTCTTGCAGAGGGGCCTCTGGCACAGGAGCATCGTGCTGCCACCAGGCTCGCTGGGTCTCGAAGGCATGGGGTAGGTGGATGGTGCCACCGGGGAGTGCAGCCATCTCCATGGCGTGGTGGCAGGCTCCTGGTGACTCAGGGGCACCCCAAAAAAAAGCAGGGGAGCACCAGCCCTGCTGCAGCAGCCTCACAGCAGGGAGACACTCCCGCTCTGCTGAGCAGAAAGCAATCGCTGTGTTTTTCCAGTGTTTTGAGAGCAGTGTAGGACTGCTGGGAGAGGGGGATGGGAAAAGGAGCCAGGTTAGCTCCAGGGAGCTGGGAGGGGTGGTGGGGGCTCCAGCTGGGCACTCAGCAGCTGCTCTGCTACCTGCCCCAGAGGAAAAAGCTCGCGGTGCTTCATAAATGCATGCGGCACTACCTGGGAAGCAAGCGGGAGGAAACAGTCCCCTGGGCTTAATACACTGCTGAGCGTGGTTGCCAGGGAGCAGAAAAAGCAATTGGGGGAGCATTTATTTTGTACATCAGAAGGCAAAGAAGCAGCTGAAGCTGAGGAGCGAGGGCTGCCCCTCTGAGCTGTGTCAGCTCCCTGGGATGTGGCCCCTGTGAGGCGGGGGGGGGTGTCGGCAGCAGTCTGGCAGTCCCACAGTCCCACCTCTCCCTTTCCTCCCTTGCAGAGCCAAGGATCTGAAGACCCGCTTAGGGATCCTGCTTCATAAACCGGAGCTGGGACACAGGATCGGAACCTCCAGCACGTTGCAGCTGGGCTCCAGGTGGAGGTAAGCCAAGCAGTGCTATCTCCCAGGTTCAGCCCGGGACAGGTCCCTGTGGACCAGGCTGTCCTGGGGGTTGCTCCTGCCCATCCGCGCAGCAGAGAGGACAGAATGCAGCTCGCCCTCCCCACGGTCCCACCCCGGCAGGCAGGGAAGGCGGATCACTTCCCAGCTCCACCAGTTATAAAATCAGACTAGGGAACTGATGCTCTGGCATTAAGCACAAGAAAGCAGGTCCTTAGCAATAGGCCAGAAACTCAGAGGGCTCCCGCAATTCCTGGTGTCTCTGACCACTGCCTGGGACTCCCAGGGAACACAGGCAGCATTAAAAACAAAATACTAAATATTGCTGCTGAAGGCAAGGCATCTTCTTGCAGAGGAGGATCTGCTGGGCTTGTACCAGCAGAAAAGGGCTCCTCTGAGTATCCTCTAGAGAAGCTACCTGGCCAAAGCTGCACTATGGAGCTGAGGTCTGGCGAGCCGTCGGGGAAGGTAAAAGAAAGGGAGAAAGGAAAGAGAGTCCACAGGTAATGGATACGGGGGTCTCGCTTTGGTTTCCTACCGAGTGCCGCTGCCTCCCTTCTTGTACTGTCTCCCATTAACGGGGCTGCTTGACCGAAGTGCTCCCATCCTTTGCTGCGGGGCAGGAGTATTGCTGTCGGTGGGACAGTGAGCCTTACGTCCTTTTGTCTTTTCCAGAGACTCCTCACGAGATGTACTTGAATGGAGGGAGTCCTTTGACCAGCTCCTGAAGAGTAAAAGTGAGTAGGATCTTGTTTTCTTCTCTTGGTGAGAGCGTGTAGGACAAACACGCTTCCAGTGAGCAAAGGGGTGACTGTACGCCTGGAGCCAGTGTACAAGGAAATCTTGTCTCCTCCTCAAATGAGATGGTTTAGGATTTAGAAAGAGGCCCCTTTCCTGCCCTGACAGAGCTGATCCACAGGGCTCATTGCCTGGCTTGTGAAGCTGTACCCTTTTCTTCTGGCTGGGTGCTTTTTGGGGGGCACAAGCGCTGTCTCGCAACGCCTCGCTGCTGCCTCGGGACAGGAGCATCGTTGTGGGCATCCTGTCGTGTGCAGCAGTCCGTCAGGAGGAACGTCACGCCATGCCCTGACCATCCCTTTCTCCACACTTAGGAGAAGGCAGCGTGTCTGCTCTCAGTGTCCTCCTTTGCACAGCAATGCAGCCATCTCCCCACAGGCTTTTGTCGACCAGAAAACTGTGTTGCTGCCCTCTGTCTGTTTGTCCTGTGCCTCTGGGGATGACTCTTCCACAGGGAGAAGGAATTCAGCTGCTTTACTGAGTTACATGTAGCTATTTTCCCCTCCAATATTTGCTATACATATGGTGATGCACAGGGTTCCCATAAGGTGCTGTCTCCCTCTCCCCCATGTGGACAGTGCGTCCAGACCCAGAGAGGGGACCTCTTTTTGAGTCCCACACATAATCCCTTCCTTACACTGGGCTTTACAGCAAGTACACAATGGTGGAAGTGCCAAATTTTAACACAAAAGTAGTTGTCTACTTTAAAAGCTATTCTACAGCAAGAGAAAGTCCTTCCATAGTGCTAGTTCGGGGCTAGGCGTATTTTTTTTCCAGCCTTCCTCACGTGCTGTGATGGCTAGCAAGCATCTCCGGCTTTGTAACTTAATACATCCCCCCAGCCTGGGTCTGAAATCCTTGCTGCAATTACTCTCCCATACTCCTCAGCATGTCGTTCCCCCTAGATTTCAGCTGAGAAATAAAAATAAAGCCATTGCTGCTCGGTTCCTGCAGGCTTACTGATACCTCAGTGGATTTCTCCTTAGGTAGAATTAGCTCTTTTCCGAAGCTGTAAAGAAAATACTCTGAAGCCTCATTACAGAAAGGTCAGATAAATAAAACCAGAGGATTACTTGTCTGTGGGAAAGGATTTTATTGGAGTCTAGAGGCCAATTAGCAGTGTCTCAGAGGGTGGAATTTGCCCGGAGGGAAAGGAAATCTGCAGATGTCATGGTCTGAGCTCCCAGGGCGATGCTCGCTGGCAGTGCTGCGTCTGGCAGCCATCTTCTTCCTCCCCCTCTTCTGCCCTGTTAACTGCTCTTCTCTCCCCTCCCCAGGTGGGGTGACAGCCTTCCACACCTTCCTGAAGACGGAGTTCAGCGAGGAGAACCTTGACTTCTGGCTGGCATGTGAGGACTTCAAAAAGACCCGGTCAAAAACCAAGCTGGCCTCTAAGGCCAACAGGATCTTTGAGGAGTTTGTCCAAAGTGAGGCGCCCAGGGAGGTGAGAGCGTTTTCTGCCTCTGTCCCGTGGCATTGAATAGGGTGGGAAAGGAATAGAATATCCCAGTGGGTTTTATTAAAGTGGGAAGATGCTCTTGTTCATGAGAGCTTTCATTTCAACCTCGCGTGGTCTACCAACCTGAAGGGATATAAAGGCTTGCGAGTGTCTTCACCCTCATCTGAAGATGAAGAAAACAGTTTTCGTCCCCCCATAGGAGGGGAGTTAACGCTGAGTTAATCTTTGTGGACGCTGCTTCCTTGCAGGTGAATATTGATCACGAAACCAGGGAGATCACCCGGAAGAACCTCTCGGGTGCCACCTCCACTTGCTTCAATGAAGCCCAGGCCAAGACCCGCACCTTGATGGAGAAGGACTCCTACCCCCGGTTTCTGAAGTCTGCCTCCTACCAGGACATGACCAAGCAGGCCACCAGCTGTGGCATCAGCAAGCGGTCGCATACCTGACCCGAGCCCGAATCTGCTGCGGGGGGACAAGCTGGGGGACCAGGCAGAGTCTGAGAGATGGTTTGTGAGGGCTGAGGTCTGCGTGGCGGGGTTTTGGCTGAAGTCCTGGCATTTTAGGAGGATCCCCAGGACCTCAAGTGCTTCCACTTCTCACCGAGCTGCTGGGAGGACAGGTCCTCCCTCCCTGGAGGAGAGAAGCAGGCGGGAACAGCTTGCATGCCAGCGTGCGCCCGATGCCTCCCCTTGCAGCACGGCCAGAGACCTCCACCACTGCAGGGACAGAAAGAAATCGGATTTAAGTTGCAAGCCCAGGAAAAACAGACTGGATTCCCCTGAGCATCTGTAACTGGACAGCTCCTGCCTGCTCTCAGGACCCTGCCTTTGACCTGCAGCATCAGCCGCTGGCTCCAGAGCCAGCACAGGAGCTTGCAATTCCCGCAGTGCCCGGGGCAACCGCCCCAGACCTGCCTGCAGGGCTTTTTCTATGAGGGAATGGCCAGAATAAAAGTCCAAAGACTACATGGCATCTTCAGCCGGAGGGACCCTGCGCCTGCCTTCTCCTGATCCTGAGATCCTTATTCTGCCATTTCCTATGCATGCTCTGCATCAAAGCTTTACACCTTCTTCCAGTACAGTGTATCCCTAGCAGTGACATTTTTATCCCTCGCTTAAGCTACATGACCTTTAGATTGCACTTAATCTTAGGTCACATGCATAACTTTTTATTACTATTATTGTTATTTATTTTAAAAACAGACTAGATTCCCCTGAGCATCTGTAACTGGACAGCTCCTGCCTGCTCTCAGGACCCTGCCTTTGACCTGCAGCATCAGCCGCTGGCTCCAGAGCCAGCACAGGAGCTTGCAATTCCCGCAGTGCCCGGGGCAACCGCCCCAGACCTGCCTGCAGGGCTTTTTCTATGAGGGAATGGCCAGAATAAAAGTCCAAAGACTACATGGCATCTTCAGCCGGAGGGACCCTGCGCCTGCCTTCTCCTGATCCTGAGATCCTTATTCTGCCATTTCCTATGCATGCTCTGCATCAAAGCTTTACACCTTCTTCCAGTACAGTGTATCCCTAGCAGTGACATTTTTATCCCTCGCTTAAGCTACATGACCTTTAGATTGCACTTAATCTTAGGTCACATGCATAACTTTTTATTACTATTATTGTTATTTATTTTATCATTATTATATATATATATTTATTAGAAGAGCACTAGTCAAAGCATACACACATCCCTTGCTCCGAGGAGTTTGTAAATTAAATTATTTTAGATACTGTAGCACTTAGCATGCCTCCCACCTTTTCTGTATAATAACTTGAGAGATGACCAGACAGATCTGTAGCATGACCATGGAGCAAGGTACATGAATATCAGCAGCAGCAGCTGTGGTCTGGCAGGGCTGCTAGAGGAGTCTAAGGTGGCAGGTTTCCCATGAGCTTGGAGGACCGTTGATGGCAGTAAAAGGATGCTTTGCAGTCTGTGCTGTCTTTCTCCCCTTAAAGATGTGGACGGCATCTCGGCATGTAGACTAGCAGCTTGTCCTAGACAGAGAATAGTGATGTAAAACAGGCACTTTGGTGAGTGATCCTATTGAAAACTTATTTTTCGCACATGGGAGAGAAAACCTAGGGCTTTCCCCTGGTTTAAAATTGGGCTTGGTGTTCCCTTTGCCGGTGAAACCACTCTGCAGCCACAGCACTTTACCAGAAGCCTGGGGAGCCAAGCGAAACAGCAATGTGTGCCGTGAATTCAGTGTCTTGGGGGGGCAGCAGGACATTTCATCAGCTCAGACCTGTGGGATGAACTCTTCAGAAAGCCCCCCTGAGCAGGGATTTCTGGGTTCCACAGCCACCCTGGAAGGCTGTGGATCCCATTTGGCAGCAACGGTGCCAGCAGCCGCATAGGTGGGTGATGGGGAGCCCACGGGTGTCCTGTGCTGGGTCATGGGGAACCTGCCACCAGCATTGTTTCCTACTGAGACAGCCTGGGGCTGCCACATGTGCCTCCGTTTATCTGTAAAGACCAAACCTGGAGGTCCTTATCCCGCTGGTACTCACTCCTTGCCGAGGGAACCATCTTTTGCCCACCCCAGCATTGGCTGGAGCACAGGATTGCTTGGGCTTTTTGCGGCTGTTTGAGCAGAGCAAGGGACTGAGGACCAGTTTGGGGACGTTATTCTGAGTCCTCTTCCACTTTCCCCATCCTGGTTCTACCTCTGAGCCTCGGTGGGTCCCGGCTGTGTTTACAGGGAAATTTTAGCTGTTTTCTTATTTATTATTTATTTTTACAACTGGAACCACCTTCATTGTGTTACTGAAGTGAACGATGCACAATGGTCCGTTTTCATTACTAACACAACATTGTCATTATAAAATAAAATGTAAAGAGGAAAATACTGTGACAACTTTTTTTGGTTGTGGGCTTTCAATTAATTTTTACATTCTAATTTTGGATGACTTGCAAAGCATACTAAAGAAAGCTGCGTGTGTTGGATGGCTCACAGGGCATTTACAGTTGCTTTAAAAGTTGCAATGTCAGAAACGGGAAAGGAAGGGGAAGACTTGTGAAGAGTAAAACTTCTTCATGGTATTTGGCTTATTGAAGAGAACTGAACAGTTCACAGCAAGAATGAAAGCAGAAGTTAAGTTTTGAATATATTAATTGCCAGCGTGTTCAGTACTGTTTATATTGCTTGCCATTTTCTGAGCACTTTACAGGATTGCAGCTCCCAATACCTATTTAATATCAGTAAGACCCATTGTCTTAAAAGCACGGGAGGATTCCAGCTAGGGCTGCTGTTTGCAAAAACTGCTTTTGGGTTGCTGTCATAAATAATATTTGATTTTTATCAGTAACTCAGCTGATGATTGAATTCATTTACAAGGGGGGAAATCTGGCTCTGGAGGGGATATTAGAAAACATCCTACCTCTGTCACAGCATGTGCTGTCTCTGAGGTCTGAGCAGTCCCCTGTGTCCCTACGGGTTGCTTTGGGAGGACGGAGGCGGGGTGCATGGCGGTGTGTGCACCTCCAGGGACCGTGGGAGCACTGGAGGGCTGCCTGTGGCATGAGCAATGCAGGGAGGGGAGCATCCAAGTGTAGTGCAGAGATGTTAATGCTCCAAATAAAACCCAAACAAAACATGTTTTTAAGTTGTCTTCTTTCTATTTATTGTGTGTTTTGGAAGCCAAAATTAACTGGCCTGCGTCAGCGGAGGAGAGTGTGAGTGGACTGCTGAGGAGGAGCTGGCATCACAGGTGACTAACTCAGGAGCACTTAGGTCCCAAGGTATTACTATTAGCAGAAGCCAGCCTCTGCCCTTAAAAAGCCTTTTACAAGCAACCGCATCTATACACCACCTTATGTCTCTTCTAATACAGCCATACAGGGTCCAAGGATCATCATTCGTTGTAAAATACATCGACTCTTCTCCATCCCTATTCCCTACACTTGTCGTCTACCTAACTGGAGGAAGGCAGTTTAAACTTTCCCTTATCTTTTATTCACTATTTCATTAAGCGTGGCCTTGTCTTACAAGACAGGCGATTTGGAATCACAGCAGTCTGCGTGTATATCTGATCTTAGTGCATGTCAGAGGGAAGAAATGAGCTGAAGGGTGTCCAGAAAGCATTTAAATTATCTGGTATGAAAGACTTGGTGAGAGTAGCAAAACAGTCTAGAAGCAGACAGAAACAAAATCATGATTTATTTTTTTTTAACTGCAGCTTCTAACAGAAAAAAACGAATATTTTGTCTTGCATACCGTGAAGTTAATTTCAAACCGATTCTCCATTAAAAAAATATTTAAATTGGCCAACAAAAAAAGTAAGAAAAATTTAGAATGAAAATATTTTTGAGCTTTCTTTAGAAGGAAATTTGGGGCTGCGTCCATTCTTGATGCACTGTGCACGGAAATGGATGGCCCAGGCTGAGTCTTAGCCTCGGCGGTAGTGCTTAGACTTCACAGCTGATACCGGAGTATCCCATTTGCAGCGTAGTTTCATCTCTACAAGTCTGAGATGCTTCCCAAAGAGAAAACAGTCAATAAAACCACACTTGCATCCAGTGTGTCCTCCACGATTGCTGGCAAAAGCCAGTGGTAATATAACAAAACCTTCAAAGCCTTGGGAGGAAAAAAACCCACCAACCCACAAAACTGCATTGAGAAAGAGGAGCCGAAGCTTCCCGCGACTGCCTTTGGGCATGGTCGGCTGCGGTTGCTTCCAATAAACCACGACTGAAGTTTCCCAGGGTGGAGGAGGCTGTGAATTTGGAAGCAGCAGAGAAGATCTGAGCTCCAGAGAGCAAACGTCGGGGCTAGCGCTGGCCCCCCCCGGGCATGACACATACTTGCTCCAGGGCCAGGTTTCCATGAGCCGGGATGGGGGGTGGATTTATTTGGTGGAAAAAAACACCCGTTTCCCTCTTCCCTGGGACACGGCATGTTCCCAGCAGCGGCTCAGTGGGGTCGCATCGCTGCTCAGCTGCCCCATCTCCTCCTGCGGCCGGGGGTCCCCACTCTGGCAGGACCAAGCAGCCTTAGGGCATGTACATACGTGCACGAGTGGCCCCACAAAGACACGTATTTGGGCAGGTAGATGTGCATGTATAGGTGTATGGATGCTGAGCTTTCTGTTGCATGCACTGCAATGGATACCCATGCATAACAACACACATATGCAGGCAAGTTCGTATTTGTTTGCATGCGCATGTGTGTATATCCATGATTTCGTTTTTTAAAGACAGTCTGCAAATAAATGCTAGAAAATGTTGTTTAAATGTGTTTTTGAAGGAAGCCCACCAGCAAAGGGGATGCACTGAGCCATTTCAAATACCACAAACACTTTACCCAGCATTTTGCAGTGCTCTGCCAGCCCCTGTGCCAGCCGACAAGGAGGAAGCAGCTGTATCGCACTGCTTCCCACTCTGCAGCTTTCACCTTCACAGCCTTGGCCCAAATAAAGCACCAGAAATCACGTGTGATGTGTTTCCATACAGCTTGTGTCCCTCTCACTACGTGTGCAGCTAAATGCCAAGGTTGCCAACACGGTCCAGCTGCGTGCAG